AAGAACACTGAAATCCGAGTTAGAACGAAGAAGTTATGACCAATCGAAAATCCGCGGAAAAACCGGCAAAACACTGTTCAGTGTAAAAAAGCGAATTTTCGATAAAAGGATTTTTAGCCTTAACAATCTAAATGAAAGTTGTAGAATATGTTAAACCGAGAACGTTCATAAAAAGAACATAAAAATCCGACTTCGTATGAGGAAGTTATGATTTTTCGAAGTTTCGGTTTAGCAGTAGACAGCTAAAAATTCGAAATATAAATCGATCGATATTTAGCCGACGCAACTTAAACGAGAATCGAAGGTCTCGTCAAAAGTAGCACAACAGTAAAAAGACAGACGAAAACGGACGTCGGATGAAGAAGTTATGAATTTTTAACGGATTCCCGTCCCGGTCTGTTTAAAATAATAATATTAAAAATAAAGTCAAAATTAGCCGACGAAGTCTTAATGAAAGTCGTAGAGTATGATTTTACCTACGCGTGCATATAAAGAACGCCAAAAAACAGAGCTCGTATGCGAACGTTATGATTTTCGCAAGTTTTGGCACAAAAATAAAGAAAAAATAAGAAAAACCGGGAAATTTCGCATGCCACGTTACCCTCGCACGTGGCAGCTGCTGAGTGGACCGAAGCCATGCGTGGCACCTCCTGATTCGACCAACTCCGCGGTCCAATCCCACTCGGACAACCTCGCATGAGACACACCGGACATCACCTCGCACGCTCCTCGGATGCTCCCTTCGCACGTGTCTCCTTTCTACTGGACCGAGGTTTGGTCCAATCCGAGACTGCCACTGCGAGCCTGCTGTCCGAACCCTCGCCTCGTGTACCACCCTCCTGTCCGACGCGTGTGCTGATGACTAAGCTGCTTCGGATCGAGGCCTAGGCCTATAAAAGCCATGCGAGACCTGTCGGATTCCACCCTTATTTCACCCCAAAACTTCCCAAAATTCACATTTTAGCCCCGTAAACTTTCTCACGACCCCCCAAGGCCCCGGTATCGTGTCTAAAGCCCGAAGCAAGCCTCGGAGCCCCGGAATTCTCGAGAATTCATCCTCTCTCCTGTCGAAACTCTGCCCGGTTTGAGCCGGTTTTTCGTCAAACAAACTCTTTTCCGGGAAACAAAACGCTGCCCGAATCACCACTTATCAAGTTGAGTTCATACCCCCTATAATATACCTTTTCAATGGTTTTTAAATGCTTTTTAGGGGGGGGGGGAATACAAGTATAACACAATAATAAATTGTGTTAATAACTGTATGTGATAATAATCACACAAAAAGTTTCCGTATGCTTTTAAGAATTATCAAATACTTTCAAAATAACGTGAAGCCATGTTAAATCTTAAAAGTCATGTAAACTCTGTTAAATTCTTTGAAAAATGTTTTATAACCTATTTCAAAGTATAAATGCCAAAATCATGTTTATATATGTATAAATATATAAATAAGATTTGAAGGGCTTAGGACTAATGAATGATCTCATTTCCTTTTCCTTGTTTGGATGTGGAATTAAGGTTGTATTATTTGTCCGAAGGTCATTTCCTTCTTAATTATATATATATATATATATTATATATATGAGTACAAAAGGTTACTCCTTTTGGTATCATCACCTTTGTATCAGGCTGAGCAAAGGTGATATTCCATGAGAATTCATGCTAATCAGATAGAACATATAAATTATAATAGGTATAATTTATAATTCAAAACTAAAGATACAAGTATGATTCACGACTGTATACTTTCCAAGGAAATTACCAAAATACATTCAACTATAACAGGATATGTATAACACCTTTAATATACGAACAACATATTAAAGAAGTAAAGATACATCATACCTGGTTTGCATTAACAAAGGTACTATACAGAGTACCAGAGTTAGCAAACATGAGGTAATGCCGGGTTTGCATTAGCAAAGGTACTATACAGAGTACCCGAGTTAGCAAACACGAGGTAATAATACATCCTGTCGGGTTTGCATTAGCAAAGGTACTATACAGAGTGCCCGAGTTAGCAAACACGAGGTAATAATACATTCTGCCAGGTTTGCATTAGCAAAGGTACTATACAGAGTACCCGAGTTAGCAAACACGAGGTAATAATACATTATACCGGGTTTGCATTAACCAAGGGTACGATACAAAGTACCAGAGTTAGCATTCATAGGGTAATAATAATACATCGTAAATCTCGTTGAAACAATAAATTTGTGAGACCCTTCACGGTGTACTTATCTAAGTACGACCTTTTAAGTCCTGAACTATTAGCCAGAATCTCTTGTAGGGAGAGCATGAATTTATGTATAGATCTATATGGGACTGACAATCCCGCACCTTTACTGTTCGCTACAGTTTGGCCGGTAGGCCTAGGGTGTCAAATATCATTCTAGTTCCGACGCCTGAAGAACGTCGCCGCAGGCATATCAGTCATATTAGTATGGTTAATAGGACTCACATGGATAGAACAACGAGTGAATTACAAAGTAATATACTTCTCTTATAACAGTAAGAAAAGTTAATTACATCCCGACCAGATATACCTTCAGTAGCCTTTACTTACAGTAAAAGCTACGTATCATGAAATCAAGTATTGTACTTCTGGTTTTGAACATTTAAAACCACAAGGCAGTATTATGGATAATACAATACTCTCCAGGATTAATACTAAGGTTTTTACTGTAGAACAGATATAACTAAGAACACTTTTACAAATGAAACAGTTTATGGGATTAAACCACTTTTACAAATGAAACGGTTTATGGGATTAAACCACTTATACAAAGGAAACGGTTTATGGGTTTAAACCACTTATCAAATGAAACTTAGTCATTCAATCTTTGTAAACTAGTATAACATCAAAAACCTTTAGTGGTTAATTCTATAATTCCTTAGTTATTACATCAGAGTTGTACATAAGTAATGTCCGATTAACAGTGAAATGTGTGACTTCCGCCTTACTTCCTGTTCCTTGTTTGGCTGTGGGCTTAGGGCAGATACACCCATTTAACTGTCCATTCGATATTGTGTTATGTCTAATCAGTATAAACTAGGTAATTACAGAGGGAAACTATTGAGGTTATCAGTTAATCACCTCAGGAGATATAGGATTTCCTGGAGAAACCAGTGAACTTATTCAAAGAACTTAGGGTATACTTAACTGAACTAAAATACTTATGAACTCACCAGCTTAAATGCTGATCTACTCTTTCCAAATAACTTGTATTCTCAGGAATCCAGTAGACAGGTACACTCCCGAAGCTTTTGAGAAGACTACCTAGTATCGTACCGCGACTCTTGTCTTCTACTGTAACTACTTTATTGTTTGAATATGTAATGTTTGAACACTTCTGTAAAACTTATACTTATTAATGCAATGGTTGTTTGTACTTTGATTACTATATTGCATGTGTTGTGATACTTACCTAAAGTCCTCCGCCCCCGAATGTTTCCACCGTTCTGGTTTGGGGGTGCGACAGTTATATACAATGAAGACCTAACAAACAATGGGATGTGTGACTTCCGCCTCATTTCCTGTTCCTTATTTGGTTGTGGGCTTAGGGTAGATTCACACAATCGATTGTCTGTTTACTCTGGATAGTATATAACTATTATCCATTTAGTACTCATAGAAGGAATTGTAGAGTCATTTTTACTTATCATTCATCACATCAGAAAATATAGGATTTTCTGGAGGAACATGCGAACTTTTCTAAAAAGAACTTTTAGTATACATTTTATCACTAAAATACTTATGAACTCACCAGCTTAAATGCTGATCTACTCTTTCAAAATAACTTGTATTCTCAGGAAACTAGTAGACAGGTACGTGCTCAGGCATTCAGAAGATGGAGCATAGTAGCTTCATGTCTTGTTTTGTTATTTACTTTGGAGTCAATCTTTTGTGAACCTAATACATTATAAACAATTTAATATTAATGCAATGGTTGTTTGTTACTTTGATTACTATGATGCATGTGTTGTGATACTACATATGACGTCCTCCGTCCCCGAACGTTTCCGCCGTTCCGGTTTGGGGGTGTGACAGAAAAACCTAAAAAAATCATTCATAAGTACTGAATGAGTACAAAAACAATATATATATATATTAAATACTAAATGTGTATAAAAATATTGAGGACTAAATGTGTACGAAGTGAGAAATATATTACCCTATTAAGTCATTTTTACCGGCTAACCTGAAGTAGCCGGTCATAAGGACTGAATGTGTACAGTTTAACAAGTTGAAGGGATAAATATGGACGAAAAAAAACTCAGTGAACAAATATATACAAATCGAATAATATATTACCTTTTAAGTCATTATCCCTAACTAAAACAATACCAAACAACATGGACCAAATGTATATCATACTCTTTTATTACCCATACTGTCGTATACGCCGTTCTAAAATAAAGGGATAATTTCATATATGTCATTCTTAAACATCAAAATATCATATTTACCCAACTTAATTTCTAAATATAATATTTACCCTTCATAAAATTTCTAAATATCATATATGTCCTTTTTAAACATCAAAATATCATATATGCCCTTCTTAAATATCAAAATATCGTATATGTACTTTTTAAACATCAAAATATCAACGGTAATATTTAAAATATTCTCCATCTACGACATGATAATAATCAACAAAAATAAAAACTAAACAATCAAAATATACATTCCATAGAGAGGGTTGAAGATGAATCTTTTTGTTTGTCAAAAGAGCGACATTCAAACAATTTAGAAGTTCACATTCCATTATCATAGACGTAAAGATAATATGGTTAAAATTTTTAATTACTATAATAATTCTAATGTATAAAAAGTGATTATAAAATATTAAAAACATTATAAAAAAGGATTTGGGCAAATATGATATTTTAAAGGTTTATAAAAGATAAATATGATATTAAGAAATTAAGCTAATATGATATTTTGAAATTTAAGAGCAATAAAATAAATTACCAATACCCAAAATATAGTGAGAATGACCCCAGTGCACTTTTCGATGCGAAGGGTGCAACATACTCGTCTTTCTCCAAAATTAAGAATTCAGCTCTTCTCGGTATACTTTACCAATTTGAGAAGAGGAACAAGGAGAAGACCGAGAGATTCTTTGCAAAATCGCCATTGATGATGACTTGGTTTTCAGTTTTAATCGTCTGTCTAATAATTCTACATGCAAATCCTACTTTCTCGATCTCACTCCGATTTTTCAGTTCCAACTTACCAGCCGAAACCGGACATTCGCTATTAGGCGACGCTCACTTCGTCGATGGTGGACATGCTGTTCAACTCAGTCGAACAACGCCTCTAAGCTTCGGTATTATGTTACACAGCACGCCTTACAAATTCAGTTCTTCGACGTCGTTTTCCTCAAACTTCACGTTCGAGATCGGTAATGGCGTTGCGCTGGTAATCATTCCCGCTGATTTTCCTTCTAAATTTGCCAGGAACATGTCGTTTGGGCTCCAGGAGGTAAATCGATTCTTCGGTATCGAGTTTGATGTAAATGTGTGTAAAATTTCATCTTCTAGGGTTAGCAACGTTTCGAAAAATAATAATGTTTTGAAGAGCGGATTGAATTTAACGTCCTGGGTTAATTACTTTGCGATATCAAATCAGCTAGATGTTAGGGTAAGCAAATCAGGTGATTCGAGGCCTGTTGAGCCACTGATTTCGCATCAAATAAATTTGGGGGAAATATTGAATGGAGAAGAGGTTTTATTAGGTCTGGCATCAATTAACGAAAAACCTGAGCAGATTACAACTGTGTACTCATGGACCTCTGATATTAAAGATTTTCCAAAATGGATGCATTCAATTCCGGTTTTTCCGCTGGATTCTTCAACACAACACCATGATGTGAAAACTTATAAGAAAAAAGTTAGTTTTCTTTCAGGGTTCATAGTTGCTACAGGTTGTGGAGCGTTGGCAGCTTTGGCATTGTTCTTCGTGTGGTCATTTGTTGCTGATAAGCAGAAAGCTCAAGGGGAGCCTTCTGTGCACCCTGTTGATTTCAAATATGAAAAGATTGATGTTCTTGAAGCCAACAACACTTCAGAAAGTGCTATGAAGTAGAGAGATGATGATGATCTGGTATGTTAACTCATCTTTGTTGTTCTATTAGGTTCTGATTATGTAAATCGTGAATGTGGGGTTCAAAGTTTTGCTCATCTGGGAATCCACAAACATATTTGAATTTCTGGCTGTTATGAACATTGTACCATTTGATTAGTAAACTGTTAGGGCTCTAATGATATTTGTATTTCAATTTAACATCATGTTTAAGTATGGAGTTTTTTTTCCTGGATTAAATGAGTGCAAGCAGATAGATATCTCTAATTTCCAGGAAGTCTTTAAGGATTAATAAGCAATGGTAGCCATCAGAAGGGTAAATGAGTAATTTACTTTGGACAAGGACCAAATACACAATGAAATATGGCCATAAGAACGATATTTGCAATTTTTTTGGTCAAGGGGATAAACCTCTAAGTTTTTGCTAAAGACAGGGACCAAATTTGCAGTTTACTCTTATTTTCTTATTTTGACATAGCAAATTTGAGAGTACATGGCTAATATGATGTGGATGCAGTTGTATTGACATGGTAAAAAATATTAAAGTTTGAAACTGTTCTATAAATTTTTTGACTTGTAAAAAATATTACATTTAGATTTTAGACATCATGTGTGGAATGACATGTTATAAAAATCTGTGAACTTATGCCATATTTCTTATAATTCAAAATAGCAGATTACTTTTAGTCACAATATGTATATTTTCAAGGTGCAATGCCCTAATAAAAACTGTTATGAAAGTATGATACTATAGTAATAAAGGAAGAGGATTCTAAATGTTTGGTGGTGGTGTCGGAGGCAGTGGTGGCGGAGGAGGTGAGGGCGACGACAATGGCAGAGGCCGAGGTAGTAGTGATGGTGGCAACGGTGACGACGACAATGGTGATGGTGGAGGAAAAAGAAATCACATTTGGATTACAACTTCGAAAATGGCTTCCAAAATTGGATTACAAGCAGTCTTTTTTCTCAAACGTTTTTCGGTATGATAAGTGGTCAAAAAGACATTTTGCCAAAAAAACAAACACAATCTTAGCGTAATGAGTAAGAAACTATTCGAGTCCTAAATCTACATGTTTCGTCCATAGTATGAATTGTACATATCTGTAAACCCCTGATAACAACGATAGACCAAAACCCTTTGGTGAGTAAGGTAGTGTTTGTTTTTTGTCTGTAGATTTACGTGGCCTCTTCTGTCTGCGCCGCGCAGACATTGACCTTCGCAGACTGTTTGTTTTTTTGAAGACTGCAGACCTAAAAATGTCTGCGCGCCCTCTTCTTGGCGCAAATGTGGACCAGAGTCTTCTAACATCTCCAGACATCTTTTAGCCTAAAAAAACATATATATCTTTATTTTTTTTAAGTTTTTTTTAATTTATATTTTTTCCAACTTTATTAATGATAAACAATTTGAAAAAAAAATTACAAAACTTAAAAAAAAACGTTCGACGATACAAACATTATATTTTTGACAAATTTATAAATAAAGATTTATTACAATAATAGTCGTTGAAGTTGTTTATATAAATATGAAAAAAAAAAATCATAATATATTCTTATATTTTTTGCCAATTTTGTAAAACATTATTTAATACAGTATCATCAATTTCTCGAGAAAATATTTATGGTACATTTTTAATAGATTTAATTGAAAAAATCGAAGTTTATTTCCATTCATTTATGTATCAAATTCTTTGATCACTAATTATAATGTTTAGTTATAACTTTACCACCAAAATTGTTGGTTTTTATCAAATATATACGTTAATTTGTACCATTTTTATTTTTATTTTTTATACAATAATACATAAAAGTTGATCTAGATTCGTTAATTATTTATAACAAAGTCATACAAATATTAAAAAATCATTTTGAAGTTTAAAAAAATCAGTTTATTTAGATATCAGTTTATTTTAGTAGCCCGCAGATGTTAAAAAACAAACAGTCTTCTTTTTTCAGACTGCAGACGTTTGGTCCGTCTCTTCTACTGCAGAGGTCTACAGATGTGGTTCGCAGACTGCAGACATTTTGTGTCAGAAAAAACAAACAGCACCTAAGAAACTATTTATTTTTATACAAAACATATTATTTAAACAAATGCTATAAACTAATAACGAAATACATGTTTTTATTTATAAAATACCAATATTTTGTGAGCATGAAATTTCAATTGGTATACTTGCAATGATCGTGTTGAATATTAGGCCATTGGATACGGGGGACACGTCAAGCGGCGAGGTTTCTCTCCACCTCACAACCATCTACTTTTACAATTGGTATACTTGCAACGATCGTGTTGAATATAAAGAAAAGAGAGGAAAAGAGAATAATAGAAGAGGAGAGAGCTGATTGGATGTGATCTTTCATTGTATACACCACATATGCCAACGATCATGACACCACAACACCCCCTCGGGTGGTGTGCATTGTCATGGTGAGCATGTCAGGTGGCTACGAGAACCTCTCATCTTGAATATACCGAATGACCTTACTAACAACATATCATAAGACATAAGACGGTTATATGAAACATGGAAGGGTCGAAACGTGATAATGAATTGGAAACCTATTCATACATTTGTTTTTGTGTTAAAAAAAATCTCTCTGTTTGTGCTAACAAAATATTTCAGTTACCTCTTTATTAACCCCTCCCAAAAATTTGAAAATAATTGTTCAAAAATATCACTAGTCATGAAAATGCTAACCTTTTTGAACGTTGAAACTATTGCCAAAAGAAAAAACTAGAACTATATCCGAATAACCGATACAAATAAAACGACTTAAGCACCCTTTTTTTTATTGAATTGGAAAATTGAATAAGTATCCTCATGTCATTTGGCATGCACTGATATATACATAGATATGTTGTCAAATACCCTATTTTAAAAAAATGTGAGCATAATAAATAGAAAGAACTACCAAATAAATTATTTATATTTTCGTATTATGCTCACATTTTTTAAAATAGGGTTTTAACAAATGGCTAATAACATTTTCTAAAAACATGTAAAACAAATAACTATTTATAAGAAATTGATTTTGAATATAAAAATAAATTATTTATAAATTTAAATAAATAAATAGAAAGAACTACCAAAATTATGTTCAATAACTATGATAAATTATTTCCAAATAGTCATTTAATTTTGTAAATAATAAATAGCTAATGTTTTTGTAAAAGAAAATACAAAAATATATTTTCATTGTTGTTAGGGAAATGTGCAAAAAAAAATCATTATATTTTGGTTTTATAAACAAAAAAGTCATATATGATTTTTCTTTTTCATTTTTTTTGGAATTTAACCTGTGAAACCGTTAAACACTTGTAAAATAACCTTTGTATCCGGTTGGTGCCGGTTTTAAGGGTTAAATTGTAAAATAATAATAATAAATAAATAAAATAAAATAATATGGATGGTTTTTTCATTAATTAGGTTAAAGTTTAAGAACTTTTATGGAGATTTTTTTTATATATACTAAATTTATTTGAAGAAAACTTATATTTATTCATTAAATAACATAAAATAAAGATATCATCTACATCCATTTCACTAAAAAAGTCATATATTTTTATTAAAAAACCACAATAATGATAATTTATATATCATTTTTGAGATTTTTTTGTGTTTCTCTTTAATAAATATCATTACTACAATAATAAAGATATCATCTAAATTAAATATGTGACCTAGAAATCCACTTCTTATGATAGATCAACAAAAGTCCTACTAATTGTATTTAGTATGTGTTTTTATAACTATTATAACTCTTATATTAGAGTTATTGTCATAAAATCTCTCATATTTACATGAAACGTGTGGTTATGTTCTAAATCCAAATTTATGTTCATTAATGTCTCACATTTAGGTAAGTATTGTCATTTTGGGCTTTTTATCATGTTATGAAGAGAAAGAACATTAGGTGGACGATGGTGATGATGGTGGGTAGGAGATGAAGAATGCAGAAGGTAGGTCAGAGATGGTGAGAGATCGTGTTGATGGGGACTACCGGTGTTTTGTGGTGCAGATGGTGTTGTTAGTGGCAAAGGGTGGTGGTGGTGACAGAGTGTGGTAGTGGTGATGTGTAAATATGATGACTTTTATGACAATGGTGACCGACTAAGAGGGTATAAAACTTGATAAATGTTAGAATATTTTTTTTTGACAAATGAGGCATTAATGAACACAAAAACGAACTTTTTTTGATTTGTTGTAAGAAGTGTGTGTTGGAGCCCATTTTGACGACCAGCTTGTGCGGAATAATAAGAACATCTTGAGATTTACCGATAAAATATGAAGAACACGAAAGAGATGAGTAATCTGATAATTTTACTAGAAATGAGAATAATAAAATATGACAATACAAGAACACTTGGTGAGAGAAATCCCACCACATTCTCTCTAACTAGAGGGCTACATTTTTGTGCACTTCCAATACAATGACCACTCCTATTTATTTATAGAGAGAGGAACCTTACAATACAATAAAAGGGAAATAAAATAACCTAACTATCATTCATAATTTGTAATACATTTTCATGCTCCAACAATGTGTTTCTAGGACACATAGTGTGCATAATGGAGCTCTATTTAGGAATAACAACTTCTGATAAACCTTTATTTTTTGAGGTGTCGTTCGATTATGAAATGATCTTCGGTAAATTGTAGTTTTATGATAAATGTTTTACACCCAAGACCTAAAAATTTAATAATGAAGTAGCATTTGGCCTAGAAATATATTTATTGTGACAAATCAACAAAATCATCTTAAGTTATGTAGGATATATAGATGATATATTTATGATTGTTGTAATAATATTTGTTAAAGAGAATCACAAAAAATTCCAAAAATGATATATAAATTACTATTATTGTGTTTTTTAATAAAAAAATTATAAGTTTTCTTCAAATAAGTTTATTATATATAAAAAAATCCAGAAAAATCCTTAAACTTTAATCTTATTAATTTTTTTTAACCCTTAAAACAGCACTAACCGATTATAAAGGTTATTTCGCAAGTGTTTATTGGTTTCAACGATTAAATTGAAAAAAAGAATCAAAAGTGTCTCTGTTAATAGAGCCAAAATATATGAATTTTTTTTCCTTGTTGTTATTATTATTTTAGTTATAACATGCATCGTTACAATTTGAATAAACATTAATAATAATTAAAAACAATAAAACATACCAATATATTCACAAAAGCTCTTTATTTTAAATTAATTCAGGATGACTATAAACAGTAGAATGTTACTAAACCAATTTATAACAATCACATAAAACAGTTACATAGATACACATACATCATAGTCCATAAACTCTTGAAAGAAATACACATACAACATATAAACATTGATCAGTAATAAACTAATTTACAAAAATAAGAAATTCTACCACATATTAGAATTTTGTAATAATAGTTTAAAAAAGCAAAAACCAAACTATACCAAACATAACTGATTTCGGATCGAAAATCCATACGTTTGTGTCCTTGAGTCTGGTGTATTCTGACATGTTCTTTAAAATTGTAACAGTGATTCTGACATTATATTTAACTTGTTCACGTTAATCTAGACGATGCTTATGAGTTATCTGACCTTTACGTGCATGGATTGAGATAACTTAGAAATTTTAATTTTAATATCTGAATCATTATCAGATGTATGAAATGATTAAATTAATCCAATAAATAAAATAAACCAAACACATTGAGATAAAAATAGGAAAGAAGAAATGATCAGCTGTTACGGTTTTTGAGGCGCCTGCATCGCTCTCAACTCTCTCAAGTTCGTTTTCTGAATCACAATTCCATTTCCATGAATAAACGCACACAAACAAACTTATTGCATATCCATAAAATGCTGTAGTCTGTATTTCTCGGACTACACCTTGCTTCAGTGTATGTGTGTGTTTTCACACAGTTCACGGTGGCGCTAATCGGATCTCCATAACTCCATTTCATTCGGTTTTCTGTTTAGATTTTGTTTCAATCGCACACAGTTTCTTCAATCGGAAACATATCAAATCTGTAGTTTCGAGTGAAAACGTAGTGAAATTGGAAGAGGAAGAATCCGTCGACGGCGTTAATCGAAGAAGAAAACAGCGGAGTCTTGTGTGATATGAATGGACGTCCAAAGAGACGACGCTGTCCCCGGTGACGCATGGAAGATTCACTCCGACGATCATTTAGCCATTGAAATTCCTGAAACAGCCCATAAGATCAGCAGCGGTATTCTTCTATTCACTTTTCCCGTTTCAATTAATCAATGACAGTATATGTTAAATTTCTGACTGTTTCAACTTCACCTAATTAGAGATTGATGGCTATAATTCTATAACAAGTTACAGAAATTAGAATTCATTTTGGTACACATTGCCATTGATTCGAAGAGGGTCTTTCATATCTGAAGATCGATTGCGTCTATAGTTTCTTGTAACTGTATTGGAAATGGAGCTAATGAGACTGATCGGTTTTGGGTTTATGATGTAGACTCATGGTTTCAAGCGGGATTTGTTCTTACGACTGGTATCAACAGTGCTTATGTGCTGGGGTACTCAGGTGCAGTCATGGTTCCTCTTGGCTGGACAGGTGGAGTTGCAGGTTTAATTTTAGCCACAATCATATCACTATACGCAAATGTCCTAATCGCAAGGCTCCATGAATTTGGTGGGAAGAGACATATCAGATACAGAGACCTTGCAGGCTTTGTGTATGGTAATCACTAATCGCCATTCACCAAACAAACATTTATACATTCTTGAAAACATAACTCATAAAAATGGAGGTTTTGTAGGTCCAAAGGCTTATGCTCTTACATGGGTGTTGCAATATGTCAATCTTTTCATGATTAATGTCGGTTATATCATGTTGGCTGGTCAGGCTCTTAAGGTACGTACTTTCCTAGGATTTATTATGTACCCGACGGCGTTATCAAATATAACGTGTCATGTACAATATATATATAATAGAATTGTATCATGGATAGTTGTTAATTAGTTGATGTTAATTTCATTTTGCAGGCTATTTATGTAGTTTTCAGGGATGACAATGCGATTACGCTCCCGTACTTCATTGCCATAGCAGGGTTGACTTGTGGCATTTTTGCAATTTCTATCCCTCATCTCTCAGCTCTAAGAATTTGGCTTGGATTTTCAACATTCTTCACTCTAGTATACATTGTGGTTGCAGTTGCTTTGTCTCTTCGTGATGGTATAATTTCCAACTCTCTGCTATTTGTGATCAAAAGTAAAATAACATGCTATCGCTAAGGTGTTCTTTTTTACTAGATTACTTAATCTGGTAAGTTATATATGTTTTTTTTTTCCTTTTCCTTTTGACTTAATACATAAAGAACAACTTAACCTTATGCTAAACATATTTTATTCAGACAACAATTTATCCATACAACACAATCTTTCGTTGACTTATAGGAATCCAAGCTCCACCAAGGGATTATAGCATTCCGGGTACAGACACGGGCAAGATCTTTACCACCATTGGTGCTTCTGCGAGTCTTGTCTTTGCTTTCAACACAGGAATGCTCCCGGAAATACAGGTAAAAAATATTCAGAAATTTGTGATTTTTTTTTTGGTTACATTTATGAAGAAGACGAATGATGTTTTTTAATGGTGTAGGCGACTGTGAGACCACCTGTTGTTAGTAACATGATGAAGGCGCTCTACTTTCAGTTTTCTGTAGGAGTTTTGCCACTTTATGCGGTTGTGTTTATGGGGTATTGGGCTTATGGCAATGGAGCTTCTTCCTATTTGCTTAACAATGTTCATGGCCCAGTTTGGGTCAAGATATTTGCCAACTTATCTGCCTTTTTTCAATCCGTTATAGCTTTGCATGTAATGTTCTCTATCTATTGTTTTTACACTATCTAGTTTTATAACAAGACTGAATAGGATTGGACAAGCTTTCCAAGGGCATTTACGTCTTTTGCACAAATGAGAGACCGAGGCGAGTTCTTGTCCCACCTCCAATCCCAAATTCCCAATCGAGTACATGCTAAACGCAATATAACTTTTTCTTGAAAGTTTTGTACAAGCTTTCCAGGGGCATTTTTGTCTTTTACATAGACAATAGATCGAGAGTGACTCTTTGTCATGTCCCACCTTTTCTCCTAGTCCATTATGCATATCAAACACAAGACATCCTGTTCTGTCATGTTTTGTACAAGCTTTCTAGGGGTATTTTTGTCTTTTGCATAGACGAGATCAAGAGTGTCTCTTTATCCTTTCCCAACTTTTGCAATAGTCTAATGCATACCAAAAACAGTACAACCTATTCTATCATGTTTTGCACAGGCTTTCTAAGGATATCTTTGTCTTTTGCAAAGACAAGAGATCGAATTTTCCCGCTTTTTGTTCTAATCCAATGCATTTCAAACATAGTACAACCTATTTTGCCATGTTTTATACAATCTTTTTAGTGCTATTTTCGTGTTTACACAAATGACTAGTACAACCTATTTTGTCCTGTTGTGTAACATAGTTTGTCATCTGTTGTTTTTCTTCAGATATTTGCAAGTCCAATGTACGAGTATTTGGACACTAAATACGGAATAAAAGGAAGTGTGGTGGGGCTTAAAAATTTGTGTTTCAGAATCATTGTTCGAGGGGGTTACATTGGCATTACAACCTTGGTATCAGCAGCATTTCCCTTTCTTGGAGACTTCATGAGCTTAACAGGGGCGATTAGTACTTTCCCACTTACATTTATTCTCGCTAATCACATGTATTTAGTGGCCAAAACAAACTCACTCACTGCTTTACAAAAGTCATGGCATTGGGTCAATGTTTGTTTCTTTGGTATCATGGCTGTTGCAGCTGCTACTGCTGCTTTTAGGCTTATTGCTATTCACTCCAATACTTATCACCTTTTTGCTGATATGTAATCTTTTAAATTTATTGTAGATTTTATTCTATTCCATACATTACTATATTGCCTAGAAATGCTTTTTCATTTATCGAGTTTTCCCCAATGCTACTCTTCTTTTTCATTTATTGTACTGTGTTTATCATGTATTGGACTGACACTGACACAGATCAATACAACAAAAACCGAAATTTCTTGCTTCACCAAAAAATGTGGATTGTCACGTAACAATAACAAAAAAGAAGATGATTTAACACAATTAAACAAATGCTACAGCAAACTCAATACACTAACTGAAATATGGATCAAAAGCAACTATTACACAGAAAAGATTATTTGATTTTCAACAAAATCCACTCGAGTTTTCAGTGACTAGGTCCAGCCTTGAAGAATGACTTACTTTGGATAATTATCCAGAAACTAGCTTCACCACAATGCAGAGGGAGTTGAGCATTATCAATATAACTCTCAAGTATTGGGTTGCATAAATGAGACCAATGATTTGTCCTTTGAAGGAATTTCTTTTCACCCCTGAGTACTCTTGAAAGCTCCATCCTCTAGGTGCAAGAAAACGATCTTCATTCAATACTGCTAGTGCATTTGCTATAAGCAAACACCCCTCTAATAGTGTCCACAGACCCATATCCTGTATAATATACGTATGTTAGTCCACTTCAAAAACTTATATTTCTCTTCATTTACAGGCGTTGTACCAAAGTTGAAGTCATTATATATATATATTCAAGTTTCTAGGGTTCTTCATGGCTTTATTATAGACCCAAATGACAAAACAATATGAACTGCTAGTGCTCGATCAGAAGACATTTCTCTGTTAGATGGGGAAACATTATATGATAGCAAGTAACTTCCATATCATATCTTGAAGGAATTTTATATCTGTTGATTTACCTCCAATTATAGTAGACAATTATAGATACAACAAATGCATCCAGGCAAACATATAGCTCGATTTCGTTATTAAATTTTGAGAAGGTCGATTAAGTAGAACAATTTCTTCCACAACCGAGTTCAGTTCTGTGGAACTAGATGAAATTAGGAGATATTGCACGAACATTTTGGTTTCTCGTTGTCTGTTTAAACCCTAGCCTGATTTATCAAACTTCTAAATGTGATTCACAAAGATTTCTGCAGTTGATAAAGAAACTGAACCTTGACATGAGGTAATATAAACCCTAAAACATGGATTGGTTGGGAAGAATAAGAACTCACCTGGGTTAAGGAATCGGAAGATCAGGAGAGTGGAATCGGGGAGACGAACAGAGATCGATCTGATGTGTATCGCGTACAGGCGGATGACCAAGAAATGAATCTTTGGAAGAGGGTTACACCTTTAATGGTAATTTGCATTCTAGTCCTCCAGTGTTTGGCATTTAAGAATCCGCATCCCTGATGTTGGAGGGGATGTTGCAAATGAATAAATATAAATAAATAAATAAAACTTATTTTAAGGTAATCTCCCTTAGCACCATTTTGGTGAAGACATGAAAATGTCTTGCCTAGACCGTGTTGTGTCGTTCGTGTTGAAACATCAAACAGGTTGAATAACCTAAGTTGACTTGTTTAAATATCAATGTCGTGTCGTCTCATCCTATTTATTTTCATATCGAGTTCATATCGGATTGTGGGTTATGTTTTAGATCTAGCAAATGTGTTGTTTCATGTCTCGTAGAAACACTAAACAAGATGAAAAACATAAAGAGTAAGAGTAAGGAAGTGAAAATGTGAAATTCATAGTAAATTTAAAAAGAAATGTGAAAGAGTGGGAGTTTGGAACGAGGAAGAGGGAAGGGGCGAGGTCATGAGGAGGATGGAGTAGTCAAAGGACGATAGAGTATGTGAGAAAACACAAAAAATGAAAAATACAATATTGACATAGGCGGTTAAGTCGTTTCTACATATAATAAATGTGTCATTTTCGAGTTATAATCGAATTGAAATTATTAACTCTAACCTTACTCGTTTAATACATGTGTCGTTTCGCATCAACTTGTTTAATTAAATGAGTTGAAATCTCTTACTCAAAGCCATTTATTTTGTGTCAAGTTTGTGTTGGGTCAGTATGTTGTGTCAATTTTTGTCTGCATTCGTTGGTTCATCATTTTACCGAAAAAATACAGAAACGTCTACCTTTGCTTTTGCAAACGACACTGCATATGATTGGATGCCCCAATTATTAGAACTTCAAACTCCCCTACCCTTATCATGTGAGCCATTAGCTAGGTGATGGTTTAAATACATGAACTTGAGACCACCTCTATTGGAGAGAGTTTGTGACAATAATTCTTAAATAAAACCAATGGAAGAAAATGACAAAGGTATAAATGTATAATCTTATATTAAAAGTAAATCCAGATTCTAGACTCTCATTTTTAAATAAAATTCATTAGTTTGCAACTTTATATCAAAATGTATTTATCAAAATGTATTAACGATGAAAACCTCTACAATATTCAACCGTTAATTGCAGCTTCACTTTCCATCTATTCTAAAATTCTCTTGGCTCATGTAAATGATATAATTATGAAGAGTCAAGAACCGTTTGCACTTGTAGCCCTCTTGTTTGATCCATTTTCCTTTCCGGTCTCCATGCCGATTACATGATCCTCTCCCTGGTTCATCTTGGATCTCTTCTTGTTAGTTTCTATGATCTAATCTATATATATAGTGTCACAAATGCAACCAGGGAATGGATTTGCATAGAAGTTCTCTTCTCTTTTCGGTTTCACTCCAGCTACTCTACGTTGCGGACTGCTTGTTCTATTTGCATGCAACTTCTTAACCTGTAATGAAAAATCTTCCCAACTCAAACGTCCTTCGTCTAGTCGATCAAACACCTTCACAAAGTTCCTTCTGCACCAAATACCAAATAAAATCGTCAATCCCACATCAACTAAACCAGGTGTCATCCACCTCTATATGTGTAGCTCTCCTATTTTTATGAGGGGTCAAAATCAAAGACTTCAAGTACCTTATACATATCTAACATGATATCCGAGTTTTACGTTTGACTTTATTTTGTTCAACATCAGATCTTAATGATAATGTGAACTTGTGTTTCTACTCTTATGTTAGATGTGTGGAGTCATTATTGGTTATGTCTCCTAAAAGCATCCACAGTTCATAATTTAATGAAATGGTAGGATGAATGCCTAATTGGTGTGTTCAATAAGTTAAACTCAATCATAGTGGAATGTTGGAATAGCATGTAATTAATATTGAGTTCAATGGCGATTGAATAGTTCAAGGGAACAAAGTAACTTTTTAATATAAAATAATTAACAAAATAATTATTGTCTTTCTTAGAGTTCAATGCATTGTAAGTATGAAAAATTATAAAGTTTAAAATGATAATGTATCTATTAAACTGTATAGAGTTTAATGCATTATGTATCCCCTAATATAGTACAGCCAACGTCTAACACCTAGCTCACCGGTTCAACACACATCACTAATTCACTATCTCATCAAGCCTCCATCTAAAGGGACTTTTTAACTTTTTTTAGTTGCATCTCTTATTTGAACAATTATTTAAACAAGGTACTAATTTAGTTTTGAGAGTCTCACATAGGTAGATAACACCTACCAACCTAGCTTCCATATTCACATGACATAAAGACTCCATATATCTAACACATTATATATATATATATATATATATATATATATATATATATATATATATATATATATATATATATATAAACTGTCACTGCTCCAAAGCTTAGAGACATGGAGGCGAGTAACGTCTCATTGTGTGGTGGAATACCATATCGGTTAGAGAGTGGTCTCACTAACACTCTTTATATTTATAAGCGAAAGTCAAAGAATCCACATTCGTAACACTTCGTATCGTGTAAGAATGATGCAACTTTTTGATTGGGTATTACCGAAACTTACTTATCGGGATAAATCGTTTTCTCGAACCCTTTGAACATCCGGTGTCCACGGATAGCCTTAGCCATGTTTCCATCATAGGTGTACACAAAAACATCGCTCGCAAGTGCTAGTGTATAATCCAATGCAGCAAGCTGATTGTGCATGTCTTTAAAAGGCTTTAGCTCATCTTCCGTTGCTAAAGTAGAGTGAGTTGATACATTAGGATACTTTTCCTTAAAATATTCGAGTCCATGTTCTCCATAGATCTCACCCGCCACAATATATATCTTCGTACTCGAGGGAAATCCCATAGCCTGGAGAAAAATAGCAGACTCACGAGGCGTCAAAGGGCAATTCCCTTGTTGTCGTTTTTTCATGCTTTTGATATTCTTAATCTTCCAATGCTTTACTCCGTACCTCAGTGCTTTAAGCTCGTCGGCTTCCTTTTCAGAAAGACCATGAGTGCAGCCGGTGAAAGCTAACATGTCCTTTTCAAATCTACAAGAACAATAATTAGAATTCGTACGTCACTACTAAAAGGTTATTTTTAGCAACGAGTTGAACTGATTTCATTGATGTTGTTTCTAGTTATGAAGAAAAAGATGATATATAAATAAATTGTGAGTACTTTTAGATACCTCAAATGTAGAGCAAGATAATGCTCGTTGTTTTGTTTAAGTCTGTTGACTAGCTTTCTTGCAAGCTCATTGATCTCCTTTGTGGATTTCAAGGCTTCATACATGGTTCGACACCTAAGCTTTTGGATGGAATCCGGGATGCCATTGTTAGCGAGCCGCGAATTAGTGTGAAGAAATTTAACCACTTTCTGACGCCTCAACAGGGAAAGAATCTCACCTTGATAGTAACTGGGCTGCACCAAAATTAATCATCGATTTATTGAAATCGAAATACAACATATCTAAAAGTTTTAATTAATTAAATAGAATTGTATATATATAGACATGCCATTGACCACGAAACTGGATCCTTTTGGTGGGGTGCGATTCCTGCAACATGAGGTGGAAGTGAATCAACTATGTCGATGTCATCTTGTAGGGTTGTCGTGAACCGCTTGACGTCGAAGAGATCTTTAAAATCACTGGAAACAAATCAGTCTCAGAAAAAGCACTTAATGACAAATGCTTTTGTTATGATTTATTTACAAGTGTTATTAATTATCACACCTTGGATCTGTCCAAAATGACTTGTGATCTACGGTTGGAAGAACCAAAGTCGCATCCATGAGTTTTGCAATCGCTACCATGTCACTTATCTGCGATTCGAAACACATATATTACAATGAATTAATTAAATTTTCTCAAATCTTTTGCATGCATGAGTGCATGAAAGACATTATCTTATTTTATATATTTTCGTTACTAACCCCCATTTTCATTTGGTTCAACCCACCATTTGCCTGAACTAGGATGTAACCATTTGTTAGAGCACTTCGATTTCCTGAGAACGAAAAACTTGCAAAATTGGTAGTGAGTTAACAGATTTCGATATTATTAGACATGAACATGAGACGGGATTAGTTTACATACTTGTTTCACCTCCCAAACGATCAATGCATCCGTAGCGGTCATCGCTTTTGGGATTTCTCCATATGCTAGGAGACTGTGATCAAGCAAACAAAAAACCATGAATCAAAATCATAAAGGAAGGGTTGATTTTATCATCAAATGCAATAGAAAAAGTTCTGAAAACCTGCACATTTTCAAGGTTTGTTTCATCCAGAATTTGGCGCCTGATCACGATAGGATCTTCGTCATTAGCTACATGATCATCGTAGGTAATCATGCGAATATACTTGGTAAACATGATGATTACCATTATTAACATGAAAACTGTGAGAATGCAATTGGTCTTATTCTTCCTTGGAATTAAACATTTCAATAAAGACTTTATTCTTCTACATATCACGGAACATCCATCCGTCGACACTTGCCATCGGTGGTTATGGTGGTAATATTCGTTAAAACAACCACCACCGCCATAAGTTTCATGCAAAGAGCCTGTTGAACCAATGATCCTCTTTTTTCTTGTTGTAATGGGCAATGTATTACCTGTGCCCATGTCCCCGGTAGATGACATTACATCAAAATCGATATCATAAGGCAAAATCGATGAATATTATGAGATTATCGAGTTATCAAATCTGTTGAAGATGAAAAGGAATTGAATGAACAACTTATATTTTTTCCCTGGTTTCTATATTTCTCTTTCAAAATTAGCAACTCCGATTTCCCTTGTTTTCCTATGTAATGGATGCGAATTATAAGCTCAAACACTATCTTTCTCTCTTTCTCACAAAACATTAGTAGACCATTCGTGGACGCACGTAAATTCATAAATAAAAATTTCAACGGCTTACCGATAGTTTCTGGCATAACTGATTTTGAACTTGGTCTTTAAGAGTTCAACACATACAAATTTATAGCTTGTTGTTTTCTTAGAAGATGAGGGCTTGAAAGTTTTTTCATTTGTTATTTATTAAGTGTCGGTGATAATCATTAAAAGTAATAATTATAAGAAATAAAAACAAAATAAGCGGGTGTATGGTTGCGTAGTTTAATTAGCAAAGAGGTGATAAACCCAAATGAAATAACTTATCCAAGCATTTAGGGTTGTAAAAAAACTAAACGTTCGGCGAACTGTTCGTGAACCGTTCGACGGGAAGTTCGTTTATTTAATAAATGAACGAACATGAACACAAATTCTTCTTCGTTTAGTTAAACGAACAAACATAAACAATGGTCTTGTTCGTTCAATTATGTTTGTGAACGTTCGTTTATGTTGTTCGTTTATGTTCGTTCATTTAAGTTCCTTTTATGTTAATATATATTCAATTGTGTTTAATTACATTACTATATTATATGTTCGTTTATGTTCATATATGTTCAATTATGTTTATTTATCTATGTTTGTTTATTTATTTTCGTTTAGCATGTTCATGAAGATAAACGAACGAACATGAACAATGTACTTTGTTAAACAAACGAACATGAACAATAAAACTCGTTCGTTTTTTCGTTAGTGTTTGTTTATTTATTCGGCTAACTTAAACAAACATACATGAACAAACCCTTGTTCGTGTTCGTTCGGTTCGTTTACAGTCCTACAAGCACTCAAATTGGTAAGGAGAGACTCTTTTAATTGAGAGGCCATAGGTTCAAGTCTTGTTGGAGACAAGTGGTAATTTATGAGTAAATTAATTTGTCGTTCAAAAAAAACGTATCAACCCGTAATAAACTTAAAAAAATTAAAATGAAACAACGTTTCAAAGACTCTTTACAAACACAATTTTAAGTATTGTTATACTTACAAAGAAAATACTTTTTAGACTTGTTAAAAGTATTATTGATGTTAGCAGAAAACTTGTAACTATCACCAACCTTGTGTGTGACCCTCAAAACTACATGTATTATCAGGAAATCATTAAACAAACATTCAAGACGAAATGGATTACAGGCGACCTAGTTTACTAACTGTTGTATTATCTGCCTATATGTTAAGGCAATTCATATACTATTATTATGTGTAAGAACCTTGTATTCAAATATCAAGATGGAATACAAATGTTATCTTGTTTATTGTTGTACTTGTGCTATATATTCAGTTTACTTGTGATCCATGAACTTAGTCGCACAGCCCGGTGTGTTCCGCCGCCTCGGTCGGGGTGTGTGACAGTACTTTCCTCAAGAATCGTTTCGGATCCTCTAAGTAACTACTCATGTCCACCACCATCCGATCCAATCACATATACCCACTCTCAAACGAATACACATCACTAAAAAGCGCACCAATTCCTCTAAGGCACTTCCTAGGCTCTCCTAGGATTCCCAACTCACCATGTCATCAGCTGCTGAAGAACCCCTACTAATATTAGCTAACTACTTCATGAATAAAATTACATGCAACAAAACTTAAATAATCTTTCGAATAAAAGACCCAACCCTACAATGGTTAGACTCAAACGAGAGTTGCGCAATAGGTCCAAATCAATCATTCTAGAATTATTTAACCTTTGCAGCATGTAACTTAACATATTTATTTAATATTTAGCTGTTAGGTACATTTCATGCATCCATTTTGTAGTTTTAATCCATAAAAATGCATTGCATATAGGCTTAAACTCATGCATTTTGCATGTTTTTCGGGATTTTTCATGAGGCAATTTCATTCACACACTTTTGTGATATTTCAGGGACTTTTGGAGGTAGGATCTTACTTGAGGAGATGAATAAGAGATGTAGATGAAGTTTCGGGACTTGCGGAGCATCGATGAGGAAGATATCAAAGAAATGAAGATTTTGGCTTTTCAGAGGTTTACACGGTCGTGTAAATGGAAGCCTTGTGTTTACACGGGCCGTGTAAACACATACTCTCGAGCATTGTACTTTAAAGGCCTGACCAAATTGTGCAGTGTACTTTTTGTGTTTACACGGTCGTGTAAATGGTAGTGTTAATTTACACGGGCCGTGTAAACGTGGTCGTAAGTTTAAAGCGGTTTTTCTTCTTTCTAAAAAGGTGTAACCGGTTCCATGAGGAGTTAAGTCAATTTTAGGAGTTCTTGGGGCGATTTTCTGGAAGATTTGGAAGGCAATTAATACTTGGAAACACACTTAGACTTCGTTTTGGATTTCAATTTGTAAGACTTTAATTTCAATTTATAGATTAGTGTTTTGTTCTAGTCATGTCTGGCTAGAACCCTAGATTCTCCAACTTCATGTTTTGACTTCTTGGTTGTGATTCAATCATATGACTTGATGTTTGCTTTTAATTTCTATCTAGTGAATTTGATTTTGCTTTAATCAAATGTTTGATTCTAATTGTGATTCTTATTGACCATTTGAATTAGGGTTAGATCATTCAAGTTATCTAATAATAAAATTCGTAATTGTTTTGTGAATTGGACTAAGTAACAAACACTAAACTGATTTCTATTGAATGAATTTAGTGTAAATCTTATTCACACACTCTTACACTCCCGAGCTTGTGAGGAGTATTGGGTGTTGATGGGAACATTCACATATAGCTTAATGCAATCTTTTAATCTAATTCTAATAGCTTGTTTAGATTAGGTTAGTAAGGTTAGGGTTAATCAAAGAGCTTGTTTTGATTAATTAATGTGTTGAATGGGAAGTGTTAGAGCTTGTTAACACTTTCAAGTACCAACTTAGATAGATTTGAGCAAGTATCTAGTCATCTTTGAATCGCATTGCTAATTCGTCATACATTGAGTTGGAGTCCTTACAATTTCTGCATTCAATTCACTCATTTAGTCGATTACTTGTGTCTTTAGTTATTTGTTCTAATCATTGCATTCAAAACCCCCCTGTTTACTGTTGGTGACCAAAGTACCTTGCGCAAAGAGGTATAGACTGATTGTCCCGTGTCTCTGTGGATCGACCCTACTTGACTTGTACTACCTTTTAGTGCAATAAAGTAGCAGTGTTTTTGGAGTCATTTTGTACCCCTTTATTTGTTGGGTTTGACACGCCTACATTAGCTCACATCAATATGGTCCCACAAAGCTCAAAGCAAGCAACATTCGGGCAGTAACATTCTATAGGCCATAAAACATAAAAATGCATCCTCCAACTAACTTGCTTCTGCGATGCTAAGAACTTCTACCAACACTGCTAATTTTCCTAGATTCTCCTTCTAGGACCTCTCTTTCGAAAATGCTCACACAACCACATTCTGACATTCTTCGTAGACTTTCCTAGGGTTCCCCTCAAACCACTTTCCGCAATCAGCTGCATAAGAGACTCCCTATGATACAAACTTGTAACGTCCCAAAAACACCAAGTAAAAATTTCATTTTTAAATAAGTCAAACCATTCATTCATTGTTACAAAAGACGATCAGAGTCAAAGTATTCTCAAAACATCAGAGTCAAATCATAAATAGTTAATGTGGAATAAATCTCCAGGGGGTGCAGTGCGATTAAGGATGGCCCTTCCTTTTAAAACCATAAGTACCTGAAAACATTTTAAACATAAACCGTAAGCACAAAGCTTAGTGAGTTCCCCAAAATACCTCATACCATACATACATATCAACTCGAAGCTGTAACGGGTCTATTTCACCCCCGAGTCTATTTCAACTCAGTCGGTGTTTTTCAACTAAACAGTTCTATTTCACCCCCGAGTCTATTTCAACTTAATCGGTGTTTTTCAACCGAACATGTCTATTTCATCCCCGGGTCTATTTCACCCCACATTGATATAACATACATGCATATCAACAAGAGTCACAAAGACAACAATCACATAACAAACGGGTCTATTTCACCCCCGGGTCTATTTCAACCCACATACAGAAAGCATATAATCATATCAGCAAGAGTCACAAAGACAACTAGCATTCTACACATATAATCCAGTGGGACGACATTGGTGCCTTCGACCTATGAGTACAATGAAGAGACTCAAATGAACTACTCAACATAAGCTCAACAAATACGTCAACAACAGAACAACCACCCCAAGCTTCCTAAAGCCAAACCGAGACCAGTTCTTAGTCAAACTGGTCAAAAAATTCAACGGTCAAAGTCAAAGTAAACAACCAAAATATAAACTATTGAGCCTCACGTCGTGACCAACCCTTGGTCACATCGTGAGAATCCACTCATCCCAATTCCAACTCGACTCGTTCCAAAACAGCCAACTTGTCACGAACAACCCACTCAGTAGACATCACGACATGAACCCTCCTTGGTAACAACGTGAGAACAACAGAACAACCTAGTTCGCAAAACCTTTCTTGATCACGTCGTAACACACTCAATGTCACGTCATAACCTCAGTCTGAAGTAACAATCCAAAGATTTGAGTCCTTAATCCATTAAGTATCGAACTTCAACTTTTCTAGAAGCTTAAGGGGCCTCCTAAGGTCCATAATGTAACACTCGGTTCCTGGTACGTATTCTAAATTTAAAAATTGTATGTTTTACATTGGGACTCGGCAAGTTGGAGGCCTAACTCGTCGAGTAGACTAGACTTTGGATGCGGGTTTTAAGTAACCTACTCGCCGAGTCGGGAGCCCGACTCCGCGAGGAGGACTGTCTGGATGAAACCCTAATATTT